AAAAAAAGAAGGAATCTAATGCCACAGATACAAACTACAGTATGTCTATACATTTAAGATGCTCTTCTTCTCTTCTTTCATCTGTCCGCGAGCAATAACAATAACTGCAGCCATCTAGAGCCTTGCTGCATGTGCTCGCCTGACAGGCCAAGAAGAAGAAAAAAAAAAAAAAAGAAGAAAGTTTAAGAAAATATGTGGACATAACAAACAATATGAAACATATGTATCTCAGACTTCACTGTAGCTTCACTCTGGATTACTGGATTCGTAAACAAAAAAAAAATCTCATGCTGACATTCACAGAAATGTGTGTCATAGGTCAAATGAATGAATATTCAAATTAATTCAAAAATATGAGCAAACGAGATGTTTGATTGTCAATATCCGTCTTCTCCATCTTGTCTATTTCACATTACCATTACAGAACGGTACAGTGCAAAAAAAAAAAAAAATGATCAGAGAAGATCTTTTCCTTCATTGGATCTTTGTCAGCTGCAGACAAATGACATCATCATAGCAGGACACGTTTTAAGTGCAGCGCGGATGTGTCTGCTCTCCTTCACAGGCACGTCCTGTGGGGACGACTCCTTCCGCTCTGAGTGATTGGCTCCAGTAAGCCGAGATGACCTCTGGCCCCCCTGCTTCAAGGTTACAACAGTCCGAGTGGTCACCGCGCAGGTCTCGTGGGAGACGTTAACAAGTGTGAATGTTTAAAGTCACAGAGCTGTGTGTTCGTGCTACGTCATGCTGGCAGCTCCAAATGCTACAGAAGTGAACATCCTTCATTAGTCTGCCTCTGGCTGTCTTTCTGTTCAACTTTCTCTCAGTCCAGTGTGTGACATCCCCTTCAGGAAGAGCCTGTGGAGGCGTCATGAGAATATGAATGTTGTCCAGGTGTCCAGGTCTGCTGTTGCTCAGTGTGTGTTCGAATCAGAGGTGGTTGATCCAGTAGTACTGCAGCCAGTAGTAATGCAGGTGGAGGAGTTTCTGTGAGGCGATGAAATACAGTGGTTGAACTGAGGAGGAGACATCTGGTTCCACTGATGGTCCAAATGTATAGCTCTGTGTGTGTGTGGTGGTGCAGTGTGTGAGTGAGTGAGTGAGTGAGGTGAGTGTGTGTGTCCATTGAGACTTGGTTGAACGCAGCTGTCAAGAGAATATTTTTTCAGAGAGAATCACCTTTCTCTGTCAGTTTATCTGGCTGTTTCCTTAATAAATGAGAGAAGGAGAAATTTTTAAATGTTAAATGTTAAATCAGTACAGCGTTTTAATTTGTTAAAGCAGAAGTAATCTAATATGACATCATCCTTACCTGTCAGACATGAGAGAATCCCATCGACAATGCGGCGATGGCGCTGATGGCCTCGCTGTCCGAGTCTCGTCTCAGCCGTCGTCTCTGGGCTTGCAGGTAGGACAGATCCACAGTGGGGGCCGAATCCTTCACACTCTGCCAGTATTCACCTGCAGGGAGCAAAAGGATGGAAAAAGGGAGAGAAGGAAGGAAATACGAGAGAGAAAGATTAATGGCCTCAGTCGTTGGTATTTCAGTGTTGTTTTATCCTGAATGGTTCCTTCAGGGAAAGTGCCTGTGCTGCATTAATAAAAAGCACTACTTGGTGTTTGATCCAGCAGTTGTAGCTGTTTGATCTGAATTAAGCATTGAGTATGATATAAACAGCCCATGGTCTAAATATCCCTGTTGATAATTTCAGAAATGTAAACTCAAATTCAATCTCTCCTCTCAAGGTCTCCAGGCTTGAGTCCTGTGACACACAGTGGAAGTAAAAATCAATCAGTGTTTGCAAATGTGTTCGTCTATGAGCATGTGTGTGTTCTGGCTGTGCATGCAACTCACACATATTTCACCCCGGGTCTAAATTATGGGCTTAACATTCTTGTGGCTTTGCAAATATTTTTAATTAATCTAATTTGGTTGGGATAACATTTGTGTGCAATCAGGAGGGGATGTTGCGAAGGTCGTGTGCCAGAGAAGTGTTTGAAGATAATTGGAGCCAGGGCGGTCCGTATGTGTGTGTTGTGTGTGTGTGTGTGTTGTGTGTGTGTGTGTGTGTGTGTGTGTGGGTGTGTGTGTGTGTGTTTGAGTGTGCGTGCGTGTCGGTCTGTGTGTGGGACAGCTTGAGGGAGGGATGGGAGACAGGGATGTAAAGGAGGAGAGGTGGACAGAGAGCAGGACCGATAAGGAGACAGAGGGGAGAGATTGCTGAGTGGAGAAATAAAGAGACTAAAGTTGTAGAGAACAGAAATGTGAAGATGAAATTCTGAACAGCTCTTAGAAACACAGAGAAATCTTTTCTCATCAACTAATTTGTAATAATAATACTCAATACATGGCTGTTTTGATGCAAAATAAAACAATGCAATAGTAACACAATATACAGAGATTAAAATCTCCATATAACTGTATTGAAATTTTACAGTCCCTTCTCTGTTGCTCTTAATTTCAAGGTAGAGGTAAGTGCTTCTGTCCGTACAGAAGCACTCATTGATTTTGGGCTGTATCAATAAAAATGGACTTTCTCCCACGTCCAAGGTGTTGAACATATTGGTATGGTTACTAACTGGAGCATCAGTAACAAGTGGATTTCTTTGATCTCATCTTCAAATAACAACCAGTTGAAAGTCAGTTTATTCATGTATTCACTTCAAACCAGCTGATGGAAATATTTTTACATTTACATCACATATTTACTATGACGTTTCAAAAGTGTGCACCTGAGAGAGTGCGATATTAAAGCCTACTGAGAGAGATGATGGTGGTGAGAGAAAAAGAGAAATCGTGCACTTAAAGGTTAGATGTTAGATACAGAAAGACTTTTCTCCTGTTTCTAAATGTTTTCCACACTTAAGACTCAATACAACAGAAAACATTCAAAAATGTTTTAGCATGTATTTTTCTCAGTGTAAACCCTCGGACTGAGGCTTCAGGCTGTGTTGTGTTAAGGGGTCAGTTCTCACCCTGAAACTGGATGACTCTCTGCAGTGACTGGACAGCGTTTTCACAAGGCTTCTGGTCCAAGACGGACTGGGACAGTGGCTCCACCTGGGACGCAACCCGGAATAAGTGGTTAGAGGATTGAACGTGTTGTATAGATCTGCAAAAGCACAAAAATATATGTACAAACACAACACACACATCTCACCTCCATGCCCAACAAGGCACTGACGCAGGCTTCAGAGGCGTCACAGATGGCTTTGAGGTCATGCCCCCCCTCCAGAGCCAGCACTACCCGACCACCAGCCAGTGACATGAGCTGACGGGTGAGGAAGCCGAAACCTGAAAACAGACACACATACAGAGGTTGAGCCAGACATTGACCGGTAAGCAATTTATCTGTAGATGTGGATTAATAAGAATAAAGGAATCTTTATTTTCCACTTCAGCTTCATACTGTTATCGCACCAATAGTTCACAGTGATGAGTCCGGCCTTGAAGATGTAATTCAATTCTATTCATAAGACTGCTCATCTTTTATGATAGAAAATGATTCAAGGAGATTTATGAGACACGCGTGTAATCCATATTTCAAGACTGAAAAGTAGTTCCCAAAACAAAATAAAATCTCAAATCACTCTACAAAACAATAATTCCTTTTCCACGTTGTACTCAAGAAGTTAGGATTGTTTTGATCAAAACTGCACTTCTCACCTGATGCTAATGTTAAGGCTGCTCAGTTGTGAAAGAGTTGGTCCACCTGAAAATACTCTACTGTGAGGAATATCCAAGCTTTGTGATTGCACAGTTTGATTCATATAGGGCAGATGCCAATTAGAAAAATAGGATGCACTTTTACCAACATCAGAGGAAACATACCCACAAAAACACCTTTGCGGGTGTGCGACTATGTAAATGTGAAAAGATGCTGTATGGAAATGAGGGGCTGACTGAGCCTTACACTTGGCTGTGACCTTGTAGCCTCCCAGTGATGACGAATGTCCTTCAACAGCATCAAAGCCAGCTGACACCAGCACTACATCGGGGGAAAACTCGTGGGCAATGGGCATCACCACGGCTCTGAGGAGGACGAGAGGAAACAAACACTGTATGTTATGTTGCATTCATTTAAGCCGCGTGGCGGTGTGGCTGAAAGAGTACATACAGTATAAGATATCATGTTTTCAACAGGTGTTTATGATTTGTGAGAACTGAGTGAGTACAATATAATAACGTGAGTGAGGAAGTCACTGCACAATTGATTTAACATCAGAATAGATTGACAAAGATTTATTATTGAAATGAACAGAATTTTAAGTTGCCTGAAAATTTAGAAAAAATCAGACTGAATCATGGCATAGTTACGGTGATTGATTTGAAACGGGAACACGTGTACGAAATAGGATTTTTTTTCTGGATTGTTAACTGCAAACATTTACTTCATTGTAAACTCCCTCCGTTTGAAAATGATGAAAGATAAATTGTCAAAGGCCACATTCCAAGTGCTTGATCTCTGTTCTTGATCCGCTCCTACTCCTGGTAAGTAGCCAACACCAGAAGGTGGGGTAGCTCCCAGGTGTGAATGTGTGCAAAAAAGAAGCATGAGTGCTCTGCAAACCTTTCCTGGATATATAAAGATGAAAAAAACAATCGGAGCAAAGACTCAAATTCACATCTTTAGGTAGGTGGCTAATACCGAAGAGTTTCTGTTTTTGCACATGACACAAGCAGATAAAAATGAGACCCTTGACATATCTGGGCTGTGACGCCCACATGCTGTATACTCTACTCAGGGTAGACCACTTTCCTCGCTTCTATGCTCTCCTCCTCACTTCCTCTCGTCTCCTGCTGCCAGTTATTTAGCAAGAGCGCATGGTCCATGCCGCGTTTGATTCTCTCTCTCTCTCTCTCTCTCTCTCTTTCTCTCTCTCTGTATCTCTCAGCGGCAGTTCAAAGGCGCTTGTGTGGGTCTGGTTCCTATTAGGAGCTCGTCCCTCTTCTCACGTCACTGACAGCCAGCCATCTGGGATCCATTGGGCCTAATTACGCCGCCTTTGGATTCCCTAACAATGCACCCCCCACTTCTTGTCCTCTCTTCTGCTCTCCTCTCCTCTGCTGCATTCTCCTCTCCTCCATAGTCTGTCATTTGTCAGTAGCCACCTAGAAATACACATGAAAATATCTGCATGCACCCATGCATGGTACACACAGGCCAAAATAGACATATACGCATGCTCTTCCTTTGAAACTGGATGTTACGCGTGTGTGCCGTGCTACCGGTGATTACACTGACCTTAGGTTCTGACCACCTTAGTAATCCTCCACACATATATACACACACACACTACGTCATGACACTTAATCTCAACGCAGCTGAGCTTTTCTTGATTGTACTGGAGTCCTACCACCGCTCTCAACCACAATATTTCCCCTTTCACTAACACACCCGAACACAGAGACACACATCATCAACAGCCGCACTCTGGCTAGTTCTTCTGTTCCATCCCAAAGAGAAACACACAGTCTGGAACCCTCTGTTGTCTAAATTATGTATTCAAATTGAATTACAGAACTGGCACCAGACTAGATACTTAATTGCATAAACATGAATTCATGATGCATTAAATTTTGTCTGTATAGTGTGTTATGCATTTATTCGTACCAGTTAATCCACAGAATGGTGGCAGCGTTTACTGAAAACTTATTCAAGCATTTGTGTAGTATGTGTTTTTCTGTGCTCTTTCGTGCATTTTGCGTCTTGATTAAACCTTGATTATCTTGCTGCAACTTTGCAACTCCAGATGACATTTTATTCTTAATTAGATAGTTCACAGTGGCAGTAAATAAGGGGTTGTTCCCCGTCATAACATATGACAAAGGTCACTGGCCGGATATGCACCCCGGATATCACAGCTACACGGAATGTGCCTCAAACCACTGGACCACCAGGACACTCCTTCGCCACAGAGCTTTGATATGGGGAAAAGTTCCTAGGAGTAACACACAATACGGTACAGTACTACAGTGTGGTTAACTGAGGAAGTTTTACACATGAAAACACTTGCCATTCCCCAAACTGGATGAAAAATACCAAAACCAGACGCCTGCTCAGGAAAGGACCCGTTGTCTCTTAATTAGCATCCAGGGCTCCAGTAAACACTGGACTTAGTGTTTCCGAGCCTGCCTATTGGGTCTATGGATTTTACCAGTATGGGTTAGCTCATTAGCATCTTTCCTTTGACGAGGGGCCCACCCACTGTGTGTGCTGCATGCAGCACCATGTAGAGCTCACATACTGTTTAATCATTTGGTGGTGAGCCAGTGTTGTTGACAGAAATACTCTGAGTTCATTACTGTGCAGAGCAGAACCAAACCATATTCATTCAGGAAAAATTTCTTGAATGAAAAGAGAAGTGTGGTGAGAGCAAAGGTGTTTCATGAACACATCGGTGTGTTTTTTAGTGTTGTTTGGTTTTAGGGTTATCACTGCAAAAACCTTAAATCAAAGACTTTACACTCATGACTGTCATGCTCTACAGCAAATAAGGGATCGGATGTGAAACCTACTTGAGATGCTGAATAAGATCCAACATTACATTATAGCATTATACAAAAGTACACAAAAGCGTAAGAACAAGTGTAATAAAAAAAGAGTGTTGTATTCCAGTGCAGATGGGAAGTTACGAGCTCCAAAATTTGAGAATGGGCTTAAACCAGGAAGAGAAAAATAATGGCTTACTGTTTATCCGCTTGGCACACACACACGTCATTCACATTCATGGAAAAAAAACCCTCATTTTCCTGTTCTTCATGAAAATAATGTTTTGTGCTTTTTCGTGACCTGGCTATTTTCTGTGTTTATTCTAAATCTGCCAGTTTTATTAGCTAAACTGACCTGAATAACAATCTTGACAGAAGTGTAACTCATCTGATTTACAGGCGCCTGTTGAATAATCATTTTGGGTGGGAGGGAAGAGGGGGATCTATGCATTTGATTGGATTTAAATTTTACTGGGTGCAGTTGCATTTTCTTATTTTTGTACATATTCTTTGAACCATGAATAAGCAAACGCTCAACATGAAAACGATCATTTCGAGATAGTAACTGTAGTTTAACTGACAAATAAAAGCCAATATAATGTTCTCAGGGGTGAATTACCTATATTAAGTTGGAAGTCTAGGAAAGTTGATTTTTATACTGCAATGACACCAATTGAAGCCCACAACTGTCTAGAAGGTCTACAAGTAACCAAACATACTCACCAATATGAAATCTGTGTTATGCTTTGGTAAACTGTCAGCGGCAATGTAGGCAAGTGTATTTAATTTGTAGCAAATGTGCTTGAACATGCTGAAATACCACTGCAGACCTTGAATTTTAGATTTTTAATTGTTGAGCACTACAGTATGAGAGACACATGATAGGGCAAACAGAGACAGGCTGACTTAAATCTTTACCTGAATGCAGCCAGGTACTCAGCATCTCCCATGGGCGGGTTCAAACCTCCTGTCCACCCTACATTCACATTGAAGCCTTCGCCTGCACCTGCACCCACCTGGATGGAGGGAGAGAGGGGAGGAGGAGGAGAGAGCAAAAGAGTGAGAAAAAGAAGTCTCTGTGAACGTCAAGTTAATGAGTCCCAGTGAAAGTTGAGAAACTGTGTGACGATGACAGATTTGCGTCAAATGTTCACAAAATCAGCACGGCTGTTGCAAAACTTGCAGCAATTGAGGGAAAGTGACTGCATCTCTTTAAGGCAACACCAGGGAGTGATTATGATTCCTAAATGAAAGACGGATGGCTGTTAATTCAACACCCCTGTCTCTCCATTTTGATTTTGATACAATTTGTCAAATGGCCTTATAAATCAGTTGGAGCCACAACAGAGCTACACCCGTTTATGGTTCCCAAGCTTTAGGCAAAAGCTATACTGGAAAATATTTCACATTTGGAAACTGCTGCTGATGTGCACTGTATGTTGTAAAATGTTCTATTTACATATCAAAAATGTATGTATTTGCATATCACATGTCATATAAAACTAACATGGCGTACTTCTCTAAACTACTGATTTACATGTACATTTTACAATATCCTGTATATGATTTTAGAGGATTTTTAGCTGTACTGAGATTGGTGTCTACTCTCAAAATGCCAAGCGGACTCGATGGAACTCATCTCAGTTTGACCTCACATACTTGGGGCAGAATGAACTGAGGCCCGGGTCTTGGAAGGAGGATTCCTGCCTCTCTCTTTGTAGTCCTGCTAGCAGCCATTTAGCCGTTCTCTGAGCCTTTCACCATCAGTCAATGTGTCAGTTTGAGGGGAGAATGAGGAGGTTGATTGACACACTCTTGGCAACAAGGCGTGGTAATTTCCTTTGTGTGTGTGTGTGTGTGTGTGTGTACGTGTATGTGCGTGTGTATGGGTGTGAGAGGATGTTTGAAAGAGAAAGAATGCTGATGAGCATCACAGAGCGTCTGTCTCCATTCTTCTCTCAGTGGACGGGATGTTCACAGGGCAAACGAAAAACACATGAGGCCTCCTGTCCTCTGCCAACTGGTAATGTACCCGCATGCACACGCACGTGCACACAGATACACACACATAGCCGCGCACACACACACACACACACACACACACACACACACACAAATAATTCCTGCTATTGCTCCAAGTCTCTTGTGCTCCTCTGTCCTCTTTCTCTCTTTCATGTTTTGAGAGTTGCTGGACTGGATTAGGCCTCTGCTGGTTTCTGTGTGGTACGCGGCACTCTCTGTTATAGCTATGACATCACACCCCTACCCCATGGTGTGTTATATACCTACACGGGGGACAGCAAGACTCCAGAGGTTTACCACACAGCTCAACAGAGGTTGAGGGGCCACTTTAGGCAAAGCCACATCCAAGCCAGCAAAGCGTTTTATGTACCGTCCCTCATCAGGGGATTTTATGGGAAAACATTGACTATTTTATCCTCTTATTATTGTGGAGGAGGATGGGACTATGAGGAGGGGATGTGGGGGACTGGATGGGTGGTTAACACCACCGTGGGTTGGGGTCAATTCATCTGAATGGAGATAGTCATCACACTTGGTTTCTGGTAAGACCGCAGGCAGAATTCATAGGCATCACAGTTTCCTGTATGCAAACAAAGGCATGCAATTCCACAGTACACATCCTGTTGTAAGGTTCTGACATCCAAAACCATGCAATTTTTCAAATGATCTAGGGAATTAAACCTACGGTGGATACACCAAAACATAATGTGATAAACACACTTGCAGCATGTAGAAATTTCATGTTGAATATATCAAAAAGTTATTTTGCTAACAAAGACAATGCAACGGTGACAATGGACAAAGGTAAACAAGCTAACGTGACATTCCAAATTGTCTTTCAAATGATTTACTTTAAGCCATTTTCAGATTAAATTCATGAGAAGCACTTTGACTTCTGATTTATCCTGTAACCAGCTCAAATTACTGGATCACATTGTTTAGATTCCAGTGGTACTAGTAAAATGTGTTTGTTCTAATCATGACAACTCTGACTGGTCTGAGGTCCAATCGGAGGCAAGATATTTTAATCCCCAAGCCCTGTACAGTGCGATATAACATATCTATAGTAACCGGTCCCATTTTTTCCCTGTGCAGGACAGACTCTGCGATCACGAAAATCAATCATCATGAACACATTTAGGTTATAATTGGGGCTTAAATCATGTAGATAATTCCTGGATTTATTGTTACAATCATTCTTCTTGTTTTGACAAGTAAATGCTAAACATGAGGCTCCTGACCTCCCTAATGTCCCACTGGAATCACATAATTACCAAATATTCATATCTATCTTCACATGAGACATGGGTGGTATTACTATAACTGTGCATCTTTAAGAGTCAGAGTAAAATCGGGATAATTGCTATCCAGAAACCACTCTACAAAGAGAACCTGTCTTATATGTATAAAGGCTTAAGTTATCATGTTCACAAGAAGGCATATGCAGACACACACAAACACCCAGACATCACCATGACAACACAAACAAAGGCAGAAAAACACACCACTGCTTTGGAGGACTGTTTTGTAACTACCTCACTGGGATGTCCACTACCAGGAAAGAAGTTGCCATCGTCATAGCGGTGTAGAGAGATGTACAGCACACTTGGGTCGTTATAGAAAGCTTCCTGGGTGCCGTTGCCATGGTGAACGTCCTGGACAATGAATGAATGACAGATTAATAAAACCAGCACAGATTTTCTGTCAATGGTAAATGTGTTTTAATCTAAAAGCTTTTCGATGAAACAGGTAGTAATTAGTGGTTGATGCAGTCATATGTCAGAGAGCATGGCGTGTGTAAAGACATGTTGCAGGCCTGTGTGCACACACATGGTGAACAGAGACGATCACCTAGCTGCTGATCAGTATCTGTGTTCATATGACTGTGTGTGACTCTGTGTCTATTCTAAGCATACGTGACAGTTCAGATCACACATGGAGAACAGAGATAACGGTGTCTAAATGAAAAAGTGATATATAGCAGCGCTACTGTACAGGGCTGCTCTGCTTCTAGGGCCATATTCGTGCCCATGATACATTTGTATGCCTGTGCATGTGTTTTCATTCCTGCCCATGTGGGGACCAGTGGTGCTGGTCATGTGGTGGGTCCTCACCCAGTCAACGATGAGGATCTTGCTGACGTTGAGTTTGTGTTGGAGTTGCTTGGCAGCAATGGCCACAGAGTTGAAGAAACAGAAGCCCCTGTGGACAAACAGACAGGAACAAAGGCAGCCACATGTGTTTATCAGGACATCTTCACAAAATTAATATCATAGAATCACCATATGGACCTTAGGAACCTCAAAGGCATTTCTCCAGTTATCTGGCGTCATATGGTGGCTATTCAGTCCAGGCTGTGACAGTCACAGCACTGACTCCAGTACAAGTCATAGAATGAAACTCCTGCCACGCAAACATTTACTACAAATATTTGAGAAATGAGGATGTTTCATTTCAACTTGTTTTGTATTTCATCTTTCACTGCTGACAAAGAAAAATGTCTTTTCATATCACACCACTGAGTGCTGAGTCTAAAAACCTGTACTCTGAAATGCAGAAACCACAAATTTTGTGACAATAACAAAACTATGCTTATCATAAAATTCACTCCACGTTCCAAATGATAACATAGTGTGAATTGCTGGCAGGACGTGTGAGATCATTTCAGAGAAATGAACTCACAACTTGGCACAGCAGTACCCTCAACACTCGCTGTCTACAGTAAAGGTATGCAAAAAAAGTGTTGATGTATGAAAAACAATGGAGGAATGTTGGAAGTGGCAGTGTCAGCATGGGTCGTAAACCAAGAGTGTCTTTGTGTGAGTGTGTGTGTGGACAATATATCATATATGCTGCTCAAACTCATCAAGAAAAAGTCATTATCATCCCATAAATAACCAGTGTCAGGCAGTGCTGAGCACACACAGCCCCAGCTGAGTGTGGTTACTTGGCTAATGCCTCCTATCAAAGACTAATACAAACCTATGCACACAACACAAGTACACACGCTCACACAAATACACACACACACACACACACACACACACACACACACACACACACACACACACACACACACACACACAGTTCTTTTGAGGTGCTTTGCTCTGTGTCCTGAAAGCTTGAAAGAAATTGAGTGGAGGAGGTAGGTTGCCTCAGGCATCAGGCAGGTAGTGCGCACACACACACACGCACACACGCACGCACGCACACACGCACGCACGCACGCACGCACGCACGCAGGCACGCACGCACGCACACACACACACACACACACACACACACACACACACACACACACACACATTAAGAGAGAGACACGGGGGCCCTCTAACTCTCTCTCTTGCTCAGAAGTGTAGCTGATCTGTAATAAATCCTTTGAAACACTTTGCTGAGACCTCCTGGCTCCTGGTATGTGTGTGTGTGTGTGTGTGTGTGTGTGTGTGTGTGTGTGTGTGTGTGTGTGTGTGTGTGTGTGTGTGTGTGTGTGTGTGTGTGTGTGTGTGTGTGTGTGTGTGTGTGTGTGTGTGTGTGTGTGTGTGTGTGTGTGTGTGTGTGTGTGTGTGTGTGTGTGTGTGTGTGTTTGCATGCTGCTGTACTTACTGAGGGGAGGACTGGGTTGCATGGTGTCCAGGGGGCCTCACCACAGCAAAGCCATTCTGTGAGACGAGAGCAAAACCCTCAACACCTTGCTGCTTTCATAAATCAAACAGTTTTAAAAGGTTTGCATATTTATGTTGCTGTAAATACATTTAAATTACAGTCAACAGCTGAAATATCCAGGGGAGTTACCAAAGTATACTGTATATTATTGTGTTTACCCCACAACCAGTAACACAGCACGCTGAGAAAACACATGTCAGAGATGATAAAGTACTTGATAAGAAGGGCACACCTTCAGCTCTCCTTGTGCGACTTTCAGTGCCAGGTCTGTGACACATCCTGCAGCGATACGGGAAGCTGCTGATGTGTGAAGTTCATTCCAGATTGTATCGATATCTACCTGTCAGTAAAACAGTGATGAGACAAGTAAAGTAAGTTCAAAAGTCAGCCACAGAAGTTAAATGAAGATGCAATTAAAATGAGCTGTGTTGAAGGGTTAGAAAGTTACTGCATTTTTAGTTTCAGACTCATCAAAACTGAAATGCCTTGTTTTGCAATAATAAATTACACAAAGAAATATTCTTATAGTGTGGTATATTCTTGTTGTGTGAAAAAACGTTTGAATGTGTGACAGTGGACTTCTGTGGATGCTAACAACTGCTGAGAGGACTCCACTTTCTGTTTGTTGCATCTATTCTCAGTAAAAAAACAGTCTTGTGTTTCTCTGCTACTCCATGCTTCAAGACTCATATTTCTGGTGGTGTCCCGTGGTGGAACAATGAAATCAGAGGAATTTCTTTTATCACAGACTTTGCCATCTTGTTCCAATCACCTCTCCTCACCAGACCAGCCAAGGGCCGGAAATCCAGGCAGATCAGTCGTCTTATCAACTGACACCCAGCCCCCTTCTTCTTTTCCTACCTCCTCTCCTCTCCTTACTTATCTGTCTCCTCTCTTCTTTTTGTGCTTTACAAGTTTCTTGTGGGCATTATTATCTGTTTTGTCATATCAGAAGAGAAAATGCCTTTTGTCCATTTCTATCCTCTCAATTTCTCCTTCTCTCATTGTCCATTGTTGAATTTAATCTATTCCGCTACCTTCACATTTTATCTTTTACTTTTTCTTCAACAACATTCCCTGTTTGCCCAGACCCATTCCCTCTAAATAAAATCCAGTTTCATTGGCATGCACCCCTCCAAGCTGCAGTCTCTGTGTGTGCCCTCTTTCTTCCCTTCTTCTTTTCTCTTTCTCCCACATCTCACCTTTGTACAGCCTTTGATTTCTGATTGGGGTTCAAAGTCATTTTAGCCAAAAACAATAGCATTAGCAATTTGTAGCATTATTAGCTTAATTGTGTAATGAGGCATAATCAGCCGTGTAATGTTTGCTGTTCAGTAATGCAATTAGATAAGTGGAAAGATTCCCACATGACTGGTTTTAAAGGGGTGTGTGATGTGTGTGTGTGTGCATGCATGTGTAAATGTCTTTCTATAGTTGTGTGGCCAGATTTCAATTAGAAACCATTGTTGTGAGGATTTTAGCTGGTCCTCACAACCTCAAAAGTGCAGCTTTGGGGTTAAGGGTAGAATTACGTTTAGGTTAAGGTAAGCTCTGGGTTTAGTTGTGACGGTTAAGGTTAGGGTAAGGGGGTAGGAAATGCATTATATCAGTGAGTGTCATCTCAACAATAGAAAAACCACTCTGTGTGTGTGTGTGTGTGTGTGTGTTTGTGTGTACGTGTACGTGTGTGCGCGTGCTCACCCCAACTCCTCCACATGGTAACATCACAAAAATTCGTTGAGATAGGATTCCTGCCGGAGATAATTTATGTCATGAATATCACTGATTAATGAATTAATTCACTGATGAATTTCTTCATCATTATTGTTGATTTTACCAGCCAGCTTTCGGTTGTCCAGCTTGAGGCGGTTGAGAGGGTTGGTGCCGAACAGAAGCACATGTTTCTCTGAATGGACCGACTGCAGCTCTTCTAGAGTGGCCTTCCTACTGCGGATACGCTACAAACACACACACACACACAACTATATATATTGCATATAATATAATACTAATATGTAATAATAATAATATCTTTAAGTACATGTAGCGTGTGCGTACATGTGTGCATGGCTGTGTGGACAAATTTGTGTGGACATCCTGGCCTGTTAGGGTTAGGGATTTAGTAGTGAAGAATAGAGTCAGTGTAAGGGTAAGGTGTCACATCTATAAAAAACCCATCTATAGAAAACCATTGTATGTGTATGTGTATGTGTATGTGTGTGTGTGTGTGTGTGTGTGCGCGCACGTGTGTGCGTGTTTGTGCCATATCTCACACTGGTTCCTGAGGCCTCTTTCAAGCAGTCTAGACCAGATGCTCTGGACCCTCCCAGCATGCTCAGGGTGGCGGCTGTTGTCACCACAGGTACATTGGTGCTTCTGCATCTGGGCGTCATAAACCAGACCTGGATATACACACAAACATTTCTTCTTCAGTATTTCATGATCTAATTGCACAAGTATTGTAACGAAAATCTGTGAGCAGTTAATGGCTTCGTTCATGGCTTTTTGCACAATTTCCTGATCAAAAATGTGTCACTCACCGGTGGTGAAACGTAGCTGGACATCTGCAGTAGGGCTGGATAATGACAGAGAAGGTATGGTGGTGGGTGGATGTGGAGGAGGCAGGGAGGTGGAGGCTGGGGAAGACCGGGTCCGAACCAGAGGCTGGTGAGGCCAAATTAGGGCAGGCACACTCAGGGGGTCCAGCTGGAGACCTGCTCTAAGGATCACCTGCCTCTGTGGTTCCCAGAAAAGAACAAGGAATGTAGGAGCGTTTAACATAAGCAGCACATGGCAAAGACTAACTTGAGTAAATTCCACAGACTCCAATTTCTCTCTCCAGTACATTGCAAGACTCATTATTTGGTCAATTTAAATACTGCTTGTCTAGAACAAGCAACTGATAAAGAAAACGTAGCACTGCCAAATACATTGCCACAATACTGTAACTCTCAATTTTTTCATCTTGTGTAAATGAAGCTACAGCGCCCTCTGATGTCAATAACATGGTTCAAACAAGGCAATTCATGTACATGAACACTGGGAGTATGAATTTTACAATTCTAAAACAATTTCTTTTTATTTTTGTCATTAGTTACACAATCAATAATTAATTAATTAAAAACTGAGATCTAAATATTAAAGACAACTGTTCTACAATCATACTGTAAGAGCTTAACCAGAGGGCATAATATGCACATCTTGTCCATCCTGTTAATGGATACTCATCAGAATGGCAGAGGTGTACTACACATAACCAGTTACACCACTGTCATGTCAACATACTTTTTCTTCCAAAAAGCGCGTTGAAGCATTAAAGAGATTTTCTTGAGGGAAATGTAATACATAATCCCTCTGGAAAGCTCTCTATAAAGCGCTGCTAAGATGTCACAGTGAATTTATATTAGTACCTGACCGGGCTCGATCAAGCTCTCCCGTGAGGAGGTTGTGGACTCTGTGCCATAAACTGAGTCTGTGCTTGCAGTGCTCTGTCTCCTGCGATGGCCATCCTCACACACTGAGCCTGTTTCGGAGCCGCACACAGACCCTGGTCCCGAACCAGATCCTGATCCAATCTCCTCCAGGTCCATGTCCTCTGATGGGATCTGTGTCAGACGAGGCTTCTCAATGGACTTGCTCATTGGCTAATATAAGGTAGAAGTTTTACAGTTTTTACAAGTTGCTAATAACAAATTGAATTTTTCAAATTAAGTCAAATATTGAATAAATAAATAGATAAATAAAAAAATAAAAAAGGTTTATTTACAGGGGTAAATCCATGCATATTCCATATAAAGACTCCACAGAATCATCCTCATAAGGCTTTTAACTGACCCCTGTATTAAAACTAACTGGTCTGTTTATTTGTGTTCGACATATATGTGTCCACGCCTGCTTCTTCTCACCTTGCTCAGGTGTGCATTCTGCTTGAACCTCTCCAGCCCGCTCTTGTAGTATTGCTGAAGCAGCTGGTGCTGAGTGTGTGAGTGCTGGCTGGCATGCAGAGTGAAGGGTGAGTGGCTGTAGGGCGGTGGCTCTGAGCGTGTTCGCTCCACGGGTCTGTGCAAGGGCAAGTTGACTACGCCTTCTCTTCTGGAGGGGGAGGACAGGTGAGGCTGCTGCTGCTGCAGAGGAACTGCAGAGAGGAGGAGGAGAGAGTAACAGGTTATAACTGGGAATAAAGATGAGGGCAGAGGGAAAAGGGCACATGGGATAGCTGAGGAAAAAAATAAAGATGCACAAGAAGAAGAAGAAGAAGCAAATGGAAATAAACATTACAAAATAGGGGCAGAAAAAATCATCTAAAAAGATGAAGGCAAGTAAAATGGAAAAAGGAAAGAGAACAATGAGGCATAAGGGAATGTGTAAGGGAAAATACTCCTTTTTAGAAAATATTTTAGTTTTACTGTAGAACTCACAGATGATAATGTTGTTTGCATTCACAGCAAATTTCTGTATTATTATTTAAACTGCATCACCATCAAAAGCCAGACAGAGGGCGCCCTTGTGCTGTTTATTATATTGAGGCAAAAGTAAATATAGCACAAGATAGAGGACATTAATGTTTCTACAGACTCTGATTGAAAATGTATAGATGTTTTTCACAAAAGATGTTTCAGGCCCTGTTCAGAACTGGCCTTGACATTAACATTGACATTTCCGGCGATGCAATTACAAGTGAACAGCTCTAAGTATGTCAGTCCACACCTGGCATTAAAATGCATCTTCACATGCATCTTAAGTGACCACTTGTTCTCACTCACACTGTAAGCCAATACAAATGTTGACAATATGTGTACATATGTGTGTGTGTGAGAGAGCGAGTCAATGTACTGTGTACAGCTCCACACTGAAATAAGGTTGTAGCCATTTGATATAGTAAAAAAAAACTCTACATGTGGTAGTCAGTGTTAATATTGTTGGGGCCACCACAAATAAATCAATGTATGGGAAACATTGTGAGAAGTGTAAAACTATTTTCAGATAATGAAATTGTGGTGGGATAAGACTGTGGCAGAGGATGTAGGCGGTCTTTCAATGTGGCCCAGGACACATTTGTGTCCACACTGCTAAAAGAAGGTGGCCATGTGGCCCAGACCACCTACGAATGTGGTCTGAATGATCGGATCTCAAATGTGCACTCAATGTGTCCTGGGTGCATTCACATCTGTACTTGGAGCTGTCCACTTGTGATCAGATCACCTGAGACACATGTTAATGCCAGGTCTGAACAGGACCTTGGTGGATGCACAATGCTAGGACCTTGAACTTGAACACCTAAATAGAGTGGTACTGATGTTATTAATTACTCTTGTGCTTTTCCTGCAAAAATGTGTAAAACTGTGTGCTGTGAAAAAAAGTCTATTATGAGTATTAATAGTTACTGGTTACTGGTTATGCAGTGGTCTGTGGTGATAGGACTTTGATGAAAACAATGTGAAACTGAAACAAAAAATTAGAAAATACATAAAAATAAAATAGTGCTTCTCTTCTTTCACTACAGATGTCAACTATTAACCAACATGTTCATAAACAAAATCTAATAAAGTCCCATAAAGTTTTATGGTAAAGAGGCACCATAATTAAAATCACTTACAAATGCATAGTTCCTTTGTGTTGTCATTAGAATGTGTTCTGTATAAGAGCATATTTGAGGTGTTTCTGTTTCTGCTGTACAACACATTTGCAGTTGCACAACTCACAAGAGACAAACTGGGAGTGCACCAGTCCAGTATGTGGTTCCAGTATGAGCACAGGCTGCAGGCGCTGGGCCAAGGCTTGACTGTTTCCTTCCACAGGCAAGTAGACCTGATGCAGACCTGATACTGCCAATGGCCTGGCTACTTGCATGTCAGCCTGGGGAGAGAGTAGAGCACAAGAGAAGACAAGAGTGGAGAGGTCATGATAAGAAGTTGCAGCTTAGACAAATGAGCAAAATGGAGAGTTAGTCCATAGGGCGAAGGCTTAACGGGCGGTTTGCAATGTACAGAGAGACTCATCAGTAAAAATGTTAACAATGTGAGTAAACTACCACATGACTAATTCACAAGATATGAAAGCACCAGGAGATCAAGAGGGAAGTGAAAGCCTGAATACACCGCATGTTTCTATAAGTGTCAAAGTGTGCAGGCTCTATGTTAAACATTCACTATCAGATACAAAGGTTCATGGCATGAATGTATCTATGTGTATCTATGTGATCTATAAATGTATTTAAATTGATTGCATGATTCAAGAAGTTATTTGTTGTTTTTGTTGGCAAATAAAACTTCAACAATTTAAATACTGATACTGTAGGGAACCCTCGAAGGTATCATTGCTCACCTGGGCTGGAAGTCCAGCCGTGATGTTGTGCATGGCAGTGGGGTTGGGAGGCAAGGTGAAATGAGCCAAACTACCATCCTTCAGCAGCAACCTCTGTACCTAAATGAGATTAAAATTGTCATTACACAGGTTATCTGTACAGACAAAACAAATGATCACATCCATTTTGAACATTAAAACATCAAATGGTTGAGCATTAGGTATATAAAATTTCACAAAGGAAATTTTAGCATGTTAAAAAGATTTAAATGTTAAAAACAAATTAACATTCAGCTGTGGTGGTTGTGCAGAGGAAACATCACCAGAAAAACTCTTAGAAATACTTGCATTATCATTTCTACAGTACGTTGGGCTACAAGTTGTTATTGTTAAAGAAACAGGAAGCGAAAGGTTTTCTAGGAAATAGTTAATAAATTAATCCAAGATGAGAAGATAAAACAGAGATGAATGAAGGTCGAACACTTTTGGCCCCATGTGTTGTGTTGATGGGTAATTGAGCACTGAACCTTAACCCGTGCACTCGTTATATGCCAATGTGGATGAGAGAGTCTGCTATAATTTTAATATAAAAGAAAGGCTCACCTCATGAGCCACTGGAAGGGCCCCATTATCTGAATGGAGGCTGTCATTGGGTGAGCTGCACCCTGATGCTGGGGTGCTGCTGCTGCTGGGGGAGGAGTCTGAACGACAGAATGGAAAAACACCTATAAATCAATGACAGCCAATGACAGAGCAAATGTGTTCATACAGCACAAAAGGATGCACATAACAAAGTGGAAAATGAATCAAACTGTGTAGTACAGTATGTGTTGAAATCACATGATGCGTGTTGCTAAAAATACATTTTTCAAGTGTTTCATGCCATAAAGTAATACATATAAAATAAACGTATCAAACCAGCATTAACTTGAAATAGCTAAAACTGCAGTGCAAATAAAACAGAAGCATACGATCATGGGAGTGATCCAGCTACATGTAGATACTATACCCAGAGTTTCTGTCCTGTGCTTGACAGCAGGAGGGGCACTGATCTTACGCTGCAGTGGGTTTGGCCTTGTACTGATCAGCTTCTTCAACTTCCACTTCAGAGTGGGCTCAGAGACTGTACAAACACAAATACACACAAATGAATACATGAAGATGCACATGCACTCACAGACACAGACATAATTATCCCTAAGGTTTCATAAAATGGAAAGATACGTATAGCTCTCAAACTCACAGAACTTGATGATTAACAATGTCATCTTATACAGTACGTGAGCAGGAATAAATTAACTCAGTAATGCACAGTAATACTATATTAATGCACACAATTTTAATAACAAAACAAAGTTAAAGCAATTTGCAGCACAGCTGAACTAAGCAAATACCTCAACCCTGTTCAATAGCATAAAAAAGTTCCATGTTTACATTGGTCAGGCTCCAATAAGCCCAAACAAAACAATCAATCAGTGGCTGGCTGAGAGCAGATAAAAGGCAGCTATGTGTTGTCATTGAGCCAAAAACAACACTGGTGGGTGTGTGTACGCGCGCTGGCACCTAAGGGTTCTGGGGCAACGCAAATAAATAGTAGCTTTTTGAATGGTTAGTGTACTTGAAGAGATGAAACCACTCCCACTCTCATTCACACGGTGAGGGAGACCTGCTCAGGACTCTCACGCAGTTCATTTTACACATACCTTAGTTAAAAGTTATGTAACTGCTTTGGTCTTTGTGTCTCACTGTTGCTGTTGTTTTTATGACTGTTTGGTCTCTTTCTGGCCCTGCAGGCCTGTTGCTTTATGAGTTTCCTTCGTCTCACTAGAAAGGACGCTACTGTGTAAGTTCATTCTGTCCTTCACTTTCTCATTCTCTAGCCCAGAATGTGTATGTAATGACAGTTTGCTGAGACACTGAAAAGTATCCCACTGAGATATGCAGTCAGATGACTTTATGTCTGACTCAAATTACACAGAGCACACCACAAGAACAGACCTGAAGTGGAAAATCACCAGTGACCTTCACAGCTTCACCTCAGGGTGGGAAACCCCATCACAGACATAAATAGCTAGAGGCATCTCACCTGTCCTGCGCAGGGCGAGGTCCTTACGCTGCTCGCAGGGTGTAGGCTGAGGATTTGGGGACATGTCAGGAACCGGTAACCTAGGTAACCAAAACAATATTAGATAGACTGCTTAACTCATGCATGGGTATGAGGAAATTTGCTCTATTTTTTTTTATTTTTAATGATGATTTATTTGAATCATCAAAATCAGAAAAGGAAGGGACCAGTTAATATCAAAATGGTAATTAAGGAAGCTTTTCACAATTGATCCATCCCTTTAATACCATTTGAACATACTGTTTGTCTGGAGCTCTGCAGTATTACCAAAATAAACAGTATGGAGTTGGAGTTCTGTTTTGTCTGTCTCACCTGTATCCTGAAGTAGGACTGGTGTGGTTGGGAGTAACCCTATCATGGGTGGGCTGGTTCTTCATAATTATATGTTCCCGAAGTTTCTGCCTTACCAGGGGACTGGCTACAGCACCTATCAGTCAGTAAAGCAAACCCATAAGGAAAAAAGACAATGATTTGGATCATGTACAGCCATGCAATAGATAGACCTGCAGCCAACAGTGGGACGGATAATATAAAATACGACAAAATGTTTTGGTGTTGAAATCTGAACAGTTTTTCTTCACATTGTACTGTATACTGTTGTTGTATCAATAAGCAGTTAGGAGACTTCAGAGGTAGGATGCAGGATATTTGTCATCCCTATGTTCTTCTTCATTTCCTCTACATGGTAAAAATAAAAACAGCATAAAGTGTTTCCTGAAACAAGTGTTTGTTTGACTTTGGTTTGATATGAGGAGAAATTTCCTTGGAATCTGAGAATACATCACAGCGCTGTTGGAAATCCCCTTCTTCTTCATTGAAACATACTGTGTGCTGTGACTCATATCAAAAGCACGTCAACAACCTTATGGTCTTTCAGAGAACCTATGAAAACACATAAAAGTATGGTACAGTACACTACACTACAGTACGCGTGCAGTACAATACATGTGATACTCACTCTGCTCATTTTTATTCTTTCGTATCAGTTGTTGCAGCTCTTCTCTTTTCTCCTCCTCCATCTCTCTTTGCCTTTGTTCAATGTTATACTGCAAAGAAAAGCATGAAGACATATTAACACTGACCAGCCTCATCTGCTTTAACTATGCATGTGAGATTTATACTATAGGAACAAACATTGCAACAGCTACAGTCACTGATAAAACATGTATATAGCTGAATATAGCCACAGGATTTGCACATTGAATAAAACCCTATGTCTTGACAAAACAACACTAGGTGTGCAGCATCAATCAGCTGATCCATGGTACACATAAATTAGAATCAAATGCTGAGAAGGTGCTCTGTTTACAGTAATCTGACTTACTTCTTGGTCATTTTTGATGAGCATTCAACCTGGGTGAAGGTGTGTGGCATAGGCAATTGGCTTGTTCTGATGGTTGATGTGGTAGGAGGACTTGTACACTAAATAAAATGCTGCTGATGTGCTAATGTTGCAAGATGTGGCAAGACATGAGTTGGAAATTTCATGGGCATACTCAGTCATATTAAGCCTCTGACAGAAAAAGTAAGGAGCTGATCCTGGTTATGCGTGGTGATGCTGAGAACTGACAGCACTGTTGATAGTTATTTTCCTGACACAAAAGTTTTTCCTCACCTGCAAGCGTTGCTGGGAAAACTGGGAGCAATGCTGAGCAGTGATGGGTCCCGAAAAGAAGGGAGGGCGGGGGGCCAGCATGGCCGAATCTGGAACTGAATGCAACAACCTCTGGGTGACACTTAGGTCCATGGGCTGCTCCCCACTTATGGACAATGAAACCTGACTGCTGATGATCACATCCACTACAAAGAGACAGTTAGAGAAACAGAGAGAATAACACATCACTTTGTGAATAGAGGGTAACACTTGTCTATGCTTTGTGATGATGTGGAGATCTGAGAATTATTTCTGGGGTGAAACATCAGTTTGTCTCTCTGGAGTATCTTCAACTTCATAAATCATAGTCTACTTGTAATGACTTTTCAATGTCCTGCATGCTGGCCATAGATAGATCATCATCATTGATGAAGAGTATCAAGGATAAAGCAAATATCTTAAATTTTCTGTTCATAACACAAAGGTCGCGAGGAAGAATGTTTTTAACTGATATTCACAAAATAAGTCCAAGAACAATTGTAGCATCATTTACTGTTTATACTTTACATAAACATGATCAAGAGTGCACTCAGTTTATTTGGCATAAGTATATGCCCAGATGTGTGCTTGTACTTGAACTCTGCACATTCACCAGTCATATTTCATTTCATTCAAGTCTTCCTGCCTCAAGTGAACTGGCCATTGTCCAACACTGCATTCAGCAAAGAAAAGGAGAGGGGTGGGTGTTGGGGTTGGAGGGGCACAAAGGAATGAAAAAAATGAGTTGGATTTGAACATTGTGTGGTCAAGGCATTTGGGTCAGGTACATCAATCTGTCATCCCCCTTCCAGGTTTTTACTAAAATGAAAGAAATAAAAAGCTAAATTTAGCACAAGTGAGACAATTGAACCAAGCTTCAGCGTCCTAACTAAAGACAGATGTCTTTTTATAGGTGCAGAGGAGTGAGAAAAGGTTTTGATCCATTCATGCAATCCAAAGGCCATTGTAAATATGTCAGAGTAACCTTACTTTTCATCACGACTGATTTAACTGTAGCATGAATGGCACAATATGGGCCTGATGGTATGACCTGTAAAACATACAAGAGGAAGGCTAATGGTAACTGAGAAACAGCAACTAGAGGTTATTCTCAATTTTTGTGATGCATCATATCAACAAGACAAAAACATATGGAAGTCCACACATCACTTGATAGATGAAACCAATGAACATGGTGAAGAATGTTTTGATACTGATACAAAGGAATAGACAGATAGAGTATGGAAGGAGACACCTTGCTCCCTCTGGGGTAGAAGGACAGTGGGAGGGAGGGAAGGATGTGGAAATTTACTGAACTCGTACGCCTGAATGACTGCAACCCAGAATATTACTCAACATTACTCACATAATTCCTGTAAGAGGACATTTCTTTACTGGCATACCCTGTTGAATTACACTAACTGTTGTGGACAGCGCTGTATCACAGTAACAATTTTGCAGTGAAAACACTGCCTCTCACTCCACAGTATCATACATACTTGCATCATAATTATTCACTTGCTTTGGGAGTTATCCACAAGTTAACAAATAACAGATTACATTATCAAACCAATTACATCAATAAGGCACACTAAAAAAAAAATCAAAATGCAAAAACAGATACAGATAAGTCAGGTAGAGGGTGTTTCTAGTGACAAACACAGTGTTTTCAGTCATCAATGTCTACTATTACAGTTAAAAGTAGCTTCAGCAAAAATAGTCTCAAATGAAGCCTGCAACACTTCCATAAGTTGCAGAGACAACATTATAAGATCAGCAGTGCAACAAAACAACCCAAAACAAACCTCCACATACAGGCTGCACCCAAATGTCACTAAACTTCCCTCCTGTCTGAGCCAGACACTAAGTCGTACAGACCCAGGCAGCATTATTTGGCCCTCATTCCCAACAGCAAGACTGACTCATAGAGAGAAATAATAATGTCTGAAGAGCACTTCCATGCTCTTATTACTGCACGTCAATTGAGACTTAAACACAGTAGAACATGAGAAAAATCTGGTGAGTTAATAATTCCAGAATAATTTACAGTACATGATAATATTGTACAATTAGGCCAAGTGGTTTCAGTTCTGGTGCCCAATACAGAGTTCATAATAATAACACTATCTGCTCATGGGTACAGCGTTGTGTTTTCATGTTTTCTGTGTGTGTGAGACAGAACAACAAACAGATACACAAGCTCTTGTGTGAGAATTAAAACTTTGATGGATCATTATTTGTACAGCTTGTCATAGAGTCAGGGAAACACACAGATGATACGCCTATTGTTAACATTATGCCTTTGTTTTACACACTTCTTACTCTGCACAAAGCAGGAATCCTACCTTACCAGCTAACTCAAGGAAGCAAAAGCACATCAGACGAAACTTGTCAGAGAGACTTTCAGCTGGTTTATGCCTCTCCAACTATGTTACTGTTGGAGCTTAAAGAGCTTGTTTCTTTAAGCTTTTTACTATTAAAAAAAGTGACATAAAAACAGGAAGTACCAGAAGCAGCAGAACAGTATGTATTACTGAAGAATGTCTGTGTGTTTGCAAAGGAAATCAGACAATCACTAGAGGAGCAGGATGGTGGTGCTAGCAGTGGTGGTGGTGGGGACTAATCTGCATACACTCTCTGACACACATACACACATTCACACAAACACACGATTACCAAACAAGTCAGCTCCCCTGAGAGAAAGGAAATGATCAGGAAGTCAGTATTACTTCTCTTCAAAACAGAAAAGAAACACCTGTGGTATATTTTTACTCTGAAAATACTGCGAACACCAGGCTTCATCAACAACATGAATCTGAATTCTACTCCTTTTAATCAATGTGACATTAAATGTCCTCCCAGAGACACACGGTCTACACTGAGTCAATTGTATTTGCTACACTTTCTATATCATTGTACAATTTTAAAGAAAAAGCCAATTTTCCAAACAAACATGTTTGGTTGAGTTTTTGTACTGACACTGAACCTGTGACTTGAGGCAGATTCAGAGAGTGACTCATATGACTAGACACAAAACCAGCTCAGTCACTGCATTGTGCTTTCAAAGAGTCAACTAAACAGTTAAGGTTTCCTCAACCTGGACCCTAAAGGGTTTCAAAAGCTGCTGATTACTTATCATATTAACAAGAGCTCACTACAAGAGGACATTTACAGTGCACACTTTATTCAACATTACATTACAAAAAAGTAGCACAATTGTAGTGTTTACTATGGTCGCCTATTCATCAACTGTGCTCTAAAAATACAAGATACATATTTTAAATTTGAAAAGGAATGCTATTCAGAAGATAAAATCTGGAACATTTTAAAAAATAAGAGAAGTGCATATAGATAAGATCTGTGTGCGTGCTTCTCTGTCTCTCATTTGTGCTTGGTTGCTGGTTGGTGCTAAAAATAGGCAGGAGACAAACTTCTGGTTTCTGTAATAGCATATTCGTTTCACAACCATCATCCTCTTTCTGTGGGCCTTCTGCAGTAACACACTGTAGCACTAACACACACACAGACACACACCTGCACACATGCATAGGCTTTACTGCTGTGCACACACAGACACACACTCACACAGAAACAGTGACTTCCTGTTTCTAAAGTTAGCCTGCACCATAACATCCTCTTGGTTCATTTAGGCAAGCAGAAGCTGCTATTTTGGTTGAATGGCTTCACTGGTTCATTTTCGCAGCTTGAGAGAGTTACAGATGTCCTTCAGCAGTATTTATATCCACAGTGTGGCCCTAAAATGTGCTTTGTTTATTGTTGGGCTGGAGTGAACACCACAGTGGTATTGAATGGAGTTAAGTCTGGAAGTCACACATCAGGTTAAATACTAGTTACTATTTGTATACATAAAGACAGGCAGCATGCTTGAGGTTCATGCCTAGTTAGATGAGCAACAAAGCAGAAAGAGCAAGAGTTCAGGGACAAAATGTCTTCTGAAATATTAACAAATATTGTTTCTAGTAAAATATCAAGCACAAAAACTTGTGCTGAGTGTAAATTCATTGTGTTTATACTGGTCTCTGTATTTACAAATGATTATTATTATGACAGCTTCTCCACCATGCTGGCCACCTTAAGCAGCTCTCCCTGCCCACCACCTATCCCTCTGTCCTTTTCTCCGTCCCTCCCCGTCCTTACGTTTATAGGAATCCACAGCTGCTGGGGACATTCTGTCCCTCTGCTTCCGAGCAGCTGGAGTATCAATCTCTGTGTGAATGTGTGTATCCATGTGTGTGTGTGTGCTTGTATGTGTCCATCCTAAACAGGCCAAGATATTAATAGCTTGCAGTTGTTTCTTTTGAATGTACATAGAAGGTTTTTGTGTTTGCATAAGTAGGATCTGCTTGTGCAACAGTTGATGGTCTGTGTACACATGTATCAGTGCATCAGTGCTCGCGTGTGTTGCTGCCAGTGTATTAATAGTGCCCATTTGTTTCTGCTGAATGATCACTGTAGTTCTTTGTGCAAGTTAAAGTGTATGTAACTGAGGCAGTTTATTTTTAGTGTCACCTGCCAGTAAACACTTGTGTTATTGTATGTAATCATGTGCACATATGTGCCAGAACAGAGTTTGTGCGTTACTGTTTCTCGACATATTAATAGCACCAAACCACGTGTTTTGATGAGTGTGTGGCATGTGTGTGCGCTTGTAAGTGTATTAATAGCATTACCAATTGCCCACACATGTCTCTGTATGCGTATGGCGTGTGTGGAAGTGGCTGTCAATAACTTCAACCTCATATATGTATATGAGGTGTCCTGCAAAAGGATGTGAACAGCAAATAAGTTCACTACAGCTGACCACTATGAGTGAGGTGCTGATATTGGAGTTATCAGTTTATTCAAGTATTGGCATATATGTTGTTAATATGTTGCAAATATGAGAACAAAACTTTACGGTCCATATAGGTCAGGTTTTATAATATTTTTTGACTCTCATTTGTCTTGAATGAAGCTTAACATTTTCATTTTTTTGTATTTGCTTAAAATTAAATATAATATAAAGTTAATTACAGTTTTAGTGAGGTCTACTTTATAAAATGTACTGTACTATATCCTGCCTGGTTACCATCCTGTCACTGATTTTTTAAGGTCTACAACTAAGTTATTTTCAAAATTTATTATTCTTAAGATTGTTTTATTGATTTGTCAATTATTTGCTTTGTAATTGTTTCAAATTTAATGTCAGAAAATAGTGAAAGATGTCTGCCACAGTTTTTTAGAACCCAAGATGATAATTTTAAATTGTTTGTTTTATCCAACCATCTGCCCAAAACTCAAAACTCAAAGCTACTCAGTTTACAATGATAAGAATACAGAAAAAAGTAGAAAATTCTCACATTATTGAAGCTGGAACCAGAGACTAGCTAGCATTTACACTTTAAAAATGATTGCTATGATAATTTGATTATAAAGATAATTTCCTGTTGCTCAACTAACTGATTAATCAACCAATTCTTTCAGATCTAAAAATAAATATGGCCAATCTATCATTATCAGATGTTTGGCATATGTTTACCCATGCAGTTAAACTGTATAAAGCGTACCGCACAGCTCATTTCCTTTTTCCCCCCAAGGCATATGAAGTAACAAGTTATTATGCCACGACATAAGACTAATACATTCCTACACTTGACTGTCAGCAGGAAGATAGCACAAGCAGATATGAGATTCCTCTGTTGTGTAGTCTTTTCCTTCTTTCTCTCATAGTCATCAGTACTGTTTTGTACTGTCCCTGCCACCCTCTTCAACCAAGAGATCAGAGGTCAGACACTTATGAGACTTCTCTTGATCTTGAGTCCCGGAGGCAGCGCGGGAAAAAGGTGAGGGTTCACCAGCTCACTGTAGAGTTGTGTGTATATGAGAGAGAATGTCACAAGCTAGCATGCTCTTTAGTGTGATTCGCCAGCTTGATTTCTCACAGCCAAAACAGACTGACAATTGTTGAAATTGTTTCATTATTTCTCCTTTGGGTTCCAGGAGGTCATCTTTTTTGGAGGGGGAACCAAAATTTGGCCCAGGGTGCTGTCATAAGGTTGGCATGAGACTGAAACTTTGTCTTGCCTGAGAACATTCGCAATATGTATTACTGCTAATGGAGTTGACATTTATTCTTTCATGATCTCGCAGGTGCTTCTCAGTCATAATGGAGAGACGTAATACGGAATATTATTACTAATACAGCCCTCATTCAGATACATAACACACAAATGATCATCTTAACTTTGTCCTCAATTATGCAAATCAAGACATGAGCTACCATTTGACCTGACGGGAACACCAGCTGACTTCCTTTGTGTACTTCAAAAGAAACAGCAACTGATCATCTGAGCATGGACCGATTCAGGTTAGTGGTCTGTACTCCTCATCTTAACCCACAAACATCCACATCTGCACTGTGATCCTGACATTACCAGATGTTGTTGAGCAAATGTGGCCTTTACACACCCACAGACAGAGAAATATTGGCATATATTTATTTTTTACATGTAAAAACCCAACGGCTGACATAGGGATGATTTGACTGAGAGAACAGGTTCTAATGCCCACTTCCTACTATAAGTCACCCATGTCTCTGCAGTATTCTGTGTATCACAGTCTGTTATTGCACACTGGGTTAGAAGGCTATGTACACAGAAGAGCTTCTTTGTTTCAAATACACCCTGCAGTCAGTAAGAATAAGGTTACTGTCTTCCGGCTCTAGCCTGCTTTTACTGCTGGTTTTGATATAGTTACTGTCTTTGTTAGAACTTTGTTGATTTCCCTAATAGTCTCCATCTTTTTGCCCTCTCCCTCTCTTTCTTGCTCTGTCTCTCACACAAATACACACACTCACATGATACACTAGCAGAGTGATGGTCCTGTTGCTGCGTTTTTAAGCGGTAAAGTGTATCAGTAGTCAGCTGAGTTGATCTTAAATCAGGAACAGGAAATGTGATCCTGAGCTCTGGCTGGGCCAGAACACTGTCCCTATTGTCAATGCACTGCTGTGGCTAACACTGGGAAAACACTGGGGACTTTTAAAGGTTATCTGTCTTGGGAAAAGATTGATATTCACTTTCACAACTAGCCTGCCACCCAAAATGGATACCTGATGAAGGCCTGATCACTAAATATGACTTTGTCTTTGTTGTGGTTCTTATGTATGTAAAGGCCTATCTGAGGTCAATAGAGGGGTCAAACGAATCCAACAAATGTTTTCAATGTCAAATACATTGAAAATAAGTGATTAATTCACTAGATGGGGAAGATGCTCATCTTAATCATCCATGCAGCTTGCAAAGTGAAAATAAAAGGATCTACTAACCTTTCTATGTCTTCAACTTATTAAGTTGACATGAATGTGCATCCCATCTAGAGCTGAAAAGATAAATTGATTAATCGAATGGTCGATCAACAGAAAATGAATTGAGAAACTGTTTTGATAATCAATTCATTGTTTAGCGTTTCAGTCATTTTTTAAGCAATAATACGAAGCACATCCTAGTTCCAGCATCTCAACTGTGAGTTTTTGGATTTTGGACTGTTGATCAGACAAACCAAGAAGTTTGAAGGTTTTAACAGGCATTTTTCACTATTTTCTGATATTTTAAAAATTAAACAATTAATTGATTAATAAAGGATTACTCATAAAAATCAACATTGAAAATAATCAGTTGCGGCCCTAGACTCATCTCACCATCATCTCAACAATTAGAGATGAATTCAATAAGTCAATCAACATAAAATGAATCCACATCTAGTGTGATCATCAATTAATATTTTACTAATTTTTCAAGAAAGCTGTATATAATTGAAAACTGAATATCTTTGGACTCGTGGTCAAATAAAACAAGCAATCTGAATCACCTTGGGCTCTAGAAAATTATAATAATTCACTATTTTCTCAAATTCAATACACAATGTGATGAATGGATTATGTAAGAAAATAATCAAAAGATTAATCAATAATTAATCTTTATTACAGCTCTCTTTCCAGACTACAAGACTAATAAAAAAAGAGGGATCGAATACTGACATCATTCAAGATTTCTAATTTTGGGCTCAGTGAATTTCACTGATTAAATGTACATTAAAGACTTTTTCAAAGCAAAAACTAAGAAAGACAAGCAAAACAACTATTACATTTCTCTACCTGTTACCTTAAATTATGTGTCATACCACATGGTGAATTGAGTGATAAGAAAAAGACACACGATCATCTTATGTGTTTTAAATAACTGTGAATTTCTATGAGATTGATACCCATTACAGTATGCAAAGTGAAACTCAGTTTCATATCTCAATAGCAAGCACTGGCTGCTAGCAACCACAATCCCAGTACAATTATCTGATACAAGTTATATGAATTGCAAACTATTGCACCGATTACCTTACAACTAGTAAGGCCAGAGCATGACTCGCTGATGCCAGCTGTAAGAGGAAAGGATTGTAGCTGATATAATAAATGTCTCGTGTTCAACAATGTAGGAAAAACTCCACAGACAGTGAGACAAACAGGATTTCCACATCTCTAGAGAAAGTGGGAATAATTTACTTTTTCTCTAAGATGATGGTGGTTATGTTTCACTTGAACCTTCAGCCATGTGAGGCCTGTTCAGTGTTGATGACTGGGACAAAGCCAAACCCACAGGCTGTCACAACTTGTGGAGCAAGGGGCCTTTGTGATCAACAGTTTGGGTAAGATGACACTGATCATGTAGAATGAAAGGCTGGTTATTATGATCAAAGTCTTAATTCAATGATGCTCCTTTGTAAACACGCACATGCCTGGATACAGTATTTGTACAGACAGTCATGCATGCATACAGGTCAACATTTACCTATTCAATGTAATAACGATCACTGCTGGTCATCTGAGATGATGAGAGGAAAAAATTAAGGAGAGAGGGAGAGATCTAAAAGGCAAGAGAAAGGGGGCAGAGGAGTGTAGGTGGTGTCGATTCCTTTGGCACGGCCCACATGAAACTAATGTAACTGTATCCCCACAACAGCACTGAGGCTATGACCTCATCCTGTCCAGAGAGGGAACCTGGACACATGAGAACATTATTCCATGCATGGCTGCTACGTGTGTGTGGATGTGTGTATGTACGTGTACGTGTGCATGTGCATGTGCATGTGTATGTGTGTTTTCATTTTCTAGGGGACGAAGGGGCTCGGGTGGGATCTAACAATTTTTACAACTTCTGTCATAATACAGCACACACACTGAAACACAGCTGCCCACCCCATAGCCTATCAAACAACCAAGCATTTGTTGCCTAGCAGTGAATGAGTCAAATTTTTCAATGACGTTATGGGCAGAAATACATTTAGAAGGAAATTCTACACTTGCACTTATAATGAGGCCTTAATGCTATAATTACACCATTATTTGCCCTATTTATCACCTTAAATAGTCCTCTTGCCTGTCAGATTAGTGTAATTACCATGGCACCTAGAGTTACACAGTCAATTAGTTCAGAAAGGTAATGAGGTATTTACTATTCAGACTGCTGCATCTGACACTGGCTCATGACCTCATAAAATGTACACTTAATCTGATTTTGGAAATGATTATGTCTTTATTTTTCTGTACTATTCTATTCCTTTCAATATGTGAAGAAAACATCAGATTGCACTTGACAATGTCAGCCAGGTGAACTTTTACACCTGCTGAGTTTGGACACAAGCCAGGAGAAGAATAACCTGGATTTAACAGTGTTTATGGCAGTCATCTGAAATTTAGTTCACATTTTCAACACAAAAAGAAAGTACACTTTTTCAGTTGAAGTGTTTCAGACGACATGAATTACTGTAAGGTAACAGTCCGGACACTTTTGAATAAAGATATTTTGAAAGTACTAATGACTTTAAACCACGTTTGCTAGCTAGCCTACTTAACTGTGAACGTTAGCAAATTAAGATCGCCTACCTTTTGGAGATGAAGTTCAAAAGCGACGCATTTTCTATTTCATGCGACACAGGAGGGACTAACAGTCTGTTTTAAAGTGGCAACTGCGAGTCAAACAAAAGAAAATACGGATAAAAACTTCGTCCAGCAGCCTGTTCTTCTCATGTTGGGTCAATTTTATTTTCCGTTTTTGTTCCAACCGTCAACACGCGCCGCTGTCAGAGCTCTATAGGTTACATGCACGGAACCAAACTCAGCGCTTCAAAATGTATCGGTAATTATATAACAGAAAGACTGTCTCTACCGTCTCCGAAAGGCTGCTCTCCACTCACGGGTCTCCTCCTCACTGAGTCTGTGTGTGGTGAAACTGCTGATAAATCTGCTGGGAGTCTCACTTTCATCCGTGTGTGTGCTGCTGGTGTGAGGGCTCCATCTGCTGCACTCAGCTGGGGTAAGGATGCTCTACTCTACTCTCTCTTAATGTGTGTGTGTGTGTGTGTGTGTGTGTGTGTGTGTGTGTGTGTGTGTGTGTGTGTGTTTGTGGTTCAGATATTACTTATATTGTGGGGGCCTTAACTGTTTACACGGTTATAGGGGGACTTGTCTTGGGGACAAAATGCACATCCCCACAAAGTAGTTTAATAAGGAAAAGGTTAGGTTTAGGTTAAGGTAAGGGTAAGGTTAGGTTTAGGCAGAGGTGGGAGTAAGTCACACATGTACAAGTCTAAAGCAAGTCCCAAGTTACTGTAGTGAGAATCAAGCAAGTCAAGTTATGTCCCTGCTGTAAATCAAGCAAGACAATTGCTCAGATCAAGCAAGTCACAAGTCAAGTTATTTGGAATTCTGATTATCTGATTATCATTTAAATCAGTCTGTTTACACCTTATAAATCTTACTGATATTTGACATTTTGGGGCAATGTAGAGTCTGGATCTGTGATTGCAAGTCACCCACTGCTACAATTACCATTTTAGTCTTATTATTATCATTACCCTCACCAAGGATTTTATGTTTTCACCCATGTCTGTTTATTTGTCAGCAAAAAATTGGTGGAGGGATGCAGCATAGGCTAGAGAAGAACCAATTACATCTTGGTGTAGATCCGGTTATAACGGCGTGTCTAGGAATCGAAAGGATTGTTTGGCCTTGGTGGACGTATGCACTCTACTGAGGGCGACTCTAGTTATTACTAATACAATGTCTCTACATGGAACTTTTGTGTATAATGCTGTGTTCTCTTTCCTCCTGTAATTCATATTTTTAGTATCTTTAGACTTAGCCTCTTCCCATGATAGCTGCATTGCGGGCATCGCACTAGAAGTCACCCAATCATGATTCAAAAACAAAATGTGACATGCAAACAACGTGCAAACATTTAATTAAAAAAACAAGTCCTCTGGAGTCATCTGTCTCAAGTCTAAGTCAAGACTCAAGTCATGAATACCAAGTATGATAATCCATCCATGTGTGATACCTGCAGTTCTGTGGATTTTAGATCATTTGAGGGGTAACACGCTCCTCAACTGTAAAGTAACTAATTGGCACAGTGGACATTTTATCTTGTCATGGTAGGAAAAGCACAGGTGTTACTAATTACATTAAAGATGGCTCTATTATATTAAAGTGTCATTACAAAGTGACCTGTGAGACAGCAATTTCACCACCAGGACTGAAACTGAAAACTGGTTTTCTTACTGTGGCATTCCAAAATATCTTTTGTGAAAAATGCTTAAACCTATAGCCATCAGATAAAAATATAGATAAAATATACGTTTTCCCCAAATACAAGTAGCTCCTCTTATTAGTTCATCTGCCAGGTAAAACTAGATTAAAGTACATTTTGATAAGTCACTTTTGATAAGCCCTTAAAGTATCAGATTTGTTTATCAACTTTGTAGACTGTTTGCTTTCATCATGTAATTGACTGCCCACTTGTGGTGGCAGTAGGCTATTGTCTCTCAAAGCTAGCTTGACTACCAGCTGTTTGTTTCTGTTATTTTCAGAGGTGTTACCGTGTCCCGTTGACAAAGGCTGAGGCTAGTCATGCAGAGTGCAGAGCAGTAATTTTTGGAGGTTTGCGTTTACGCGTTGAGGATAATTGTGGAATCTTTCACGGGTGATTCACTATAGTGAGCCGAGGAGAGAGTTAGAAGTTAGCAGTGTGTCTGTGAACATGCAGTGCAATGTATGTGCATGTTTGTTTTGTCAATAAATAAATGTTACAACTCACATCCTCCCATGTGCTTCCCAATATATGCATATCAGGTCAACCACTTTACAACACATTTGATCTGCTTCATGCAGGATCCAGAACCTTTAAGTATATGGAAAGAGTCTTATACTGTAAGTCCATTTGATTGAATTCTTGATATGCTGCCAACTTAACACGCAGCTTGTTTTGTGCCAGTGTGTTTATTTTTACTGTACTATGTGCCTTTTTCTGATTTGATTTCATTGTATTTTTATTTTAGGATCTGATCAACTGAAGCCTCTGGACAACAAAGCTAAGTTCTGTTTGGGAAATGTGTAGATGCACAAATGTAAATCCAGGCATACACCAACACAAAATTAGTTAATTTGCACAGTGCTGTCTGTTCTACCACTGTCTCTCCAAGACTGAACTCTCGCTGTCTCTCGCTGTTTCCTCATCCTGCCTGGGGACAAATCCACCCTTTGCCAACACAGAAGTCCTCATCATTGGATGCATGGAGATAAACCAATCAGACTTTTATTTCACATTACCCTGACTGGTTCTGCTCCTAGAGTCAATATGTTTGCTGTTGTTCGGTTAAATCAAGTACCTATGGGGAAAATTATGGCCAGAGTTAAAAAAAACAGCTATCAACAACACTCAGTCTAATTTCAACAACAGTATGTCCTTTCCCCTGTGCTCTTGGCAAGGCTTGACAGTCCATCCCCCAGTCACGGGGCTGACTGTGGCCTGAATAATTTGAGATACGTACAAGCAAATTCAATTTCATAGCAGCTCTTCCATTTTTGAACACATGCTTGAGACAGACCTTCTTCTATTTGCAGATGTAGAGAGTGCCTTGACATGGTTTCTTCCTGAGTTTTATTTTCCCTAAATTTAGCTAACTTTTTCAACAGTTTATGTTTAAAGCATCATACGTATATCCCAAAATTTGTTTAGTTACTGATTTGGTGTGGCCTTTGCAAATAATTTCATGAGTCAATACCCGCATGCCATTATTCCTTTTAATCAGGTCATATTAAGCATGCCAGATACTAATTTCCATAAAATTGATTGTAATACAATGACGCTAACAGCCGTTGTTTATTAACTGGATTGATGAAGTTGGCACCAATGTTTGTGTTTCTGTTAACATGTCATCATCAGATGTCAATAGAGCACTCCCTTCTTATCTCTCCCCCTCACACTATTTCTACACTGGCTCTGGTGTCAAACTGTAAGGGCAGTGCCGCTGCTGTGTAGCATGTGAGGGTTTGGGTCTGTGTGTAGGTGTGTCAGCCAACCTGTTTGCGTGTGTGTGTGTGCATATATGACTGATTGGATCACAGAGAGAGGGACAGCCATTAGATGTTACGTTTAAAACATCTCCACCTTTGAGTAAAATGAAAGTATCAGAGAGAGATACTGTGGAGAAGTCTTCACCAGACACTCACAGAGATTTGATTTTTAAACACTGAAAGCCAGAACAGTGAAGAACTGGAAAGACACATATGGCATACATGGGTAGGACTCCAAGGTGGAGTTTTGTGGCCAGTAGGGCTCACTCCTCTTCCAGTCACAGGAAGCCAGTAGGAATGAGAGGAATGCAGTCAGGCAATACGGTGATGGAGGGAGCAGCAGTTGCAGGGCAGATTGCCAAGAAGAATGAAAGAAAAGTAGGGAGTCAAGGAAAGATAGGAGGAGTGAGAAAGTGATTAGAAAGTGGAAAAGGCTGGGACAGGAATAATTAAGATGCACAATCAGGCAAAAGCCAACACTGGCATGCCTCCAGAGCTGCATAGACACTCAAATACAAAAACAAACACCCAGCAGCGGTTTTTGTCACTGCATGTGGTGCATGTGTGATTGTTCTCTCTGGTATTGACAGTTTGATGTTGACAATATGTGTGATATTAGAGGAGTCACTGGCAAAAATGTCACAATACAATATTGTGACTTTTGGACTGTGTGTAGTTATCAGTTAGACAGATTTCCTGGTAACAGGTGGAGGCTGGGGGTCCACAAACAAGAATTTGTTTTTTACTATCTAGGGGGTCATCCTACCTTACAGACACACACACATACACACACATGCACACACATGCATGCAGAGACATTCACTGACTCGTAGACAGTACATTCAGAACTTTATCTATTTTACTCTTTCTGTAGAACTGACAGATGTGAAATGGGTGTCATAAATACGGAGTGGACAGAATTAATAGTAGCGGTAGTAGTAGTAAACTAGTACAGTGCTACAAACATGCATGCAGAGACATGCACTGAGAGACGAGAAGCTGCACTAATCAATATTTTCTTACTATAGTCGATCAAATTACTGTGTTATGTGAAAGGGATCATGTGGTGAGGAACCATCAGAGAATAATCACTCAACTCTTCAATTCCTCTCTCTTTATCTATCTATGTATATTGCTTCTTTTTTTATTGAAAAAGTTATGATAAACCCATTGTATGCTACGTGCCCAGCACCAAAACGACAGAATTCTTGAATTGTTTGTAATAAAGACCATTGCATGTGTTTACGTAGGCCCCGCGTAGCTGTAGCTAGCAGCTGTGTGGTATCTTTGAACCAAGAAGTTGCTGGAGGCTGCTCGCAGCAGTGGGTAGCCTCTAAAGCCTTTCCATTCCCAACAGCAAAGCAAAGTCAGCCCACAGAGGGGAGAGATAGCACTTAACACTCGCCTAGTTTCTCTGGAAACTGACTGTGATGCTGGAAAGTGTTGCTTTACGACGCCTTCACACTCCTGTGTGCACACGTGTGGAAAAATGTCAAAACAGAGTTCAGAACAGTGTGTACCCCTTTGAAAAGGTTTGTGACGTGTCTTTTAAAACTACTATACATGACAAACTGAACAAACCTGAGGTAGTGATTTCACAGAAGCTCCTGTGAACTTAATGCTCTTTTTGAAAAAGTCTTATGATGCCTGCTGTTTATTATACTACAGACAAATTAGGAACTTTGATAGGGTTGAATGTCCAATAGATTTCATGCATACAGTGGTTTTCATCTTTAGATAGTACTTTCTGACAGCATCTACTTAAACAGCTTCCTCCATGACAAAATCCCTCTGGCAGTATTTCCCTTTACAATTAGACTGCCCGT